TAAAATTAAAAACAACAACATACAAACCTGACTTACCCAAACCTTCCAAGGAGATGCAAGGCCATTGTTCACATTAGTGTTTGTCAGTCATTGTCATGATTTAATTTTATGGATACTTCGGACATATAGAGAGGATGAACAAAAGGAGACGAAACAAGCATATGGGGGGGGGAACCCGCAGAGATGAAATATATTGTGAACTTAATCAAGCTTGCATTCAGGGACACTGAACCTCTTAATATTAAATGCTGCTGAGAGAATGGGGGAGGGCAAACAGCTCTGAGCTTCCAGAGGCCTCTGGGAGGGCAGGGTATAACTTTGAATAATAAATAAATAAATAATAAATAAGTCAAAGGTGACTTGACAACACTTCACACACACACACACACACACACACACACAATTTTGAAAAGGACACAGGTTGGCACATTTCCATAGTCTTTCCCTTAACTGGTGTTTACGTTGAATACCTGCCCAGTCAAGGTGGTCTGGGGTTATGGTGATAGTCTAGAGTTTAGGTCAGCGAGAATGAATGCCATCTGCTTCACCTCTCCCATTTTTCTTTCAAAGAAGATTCTCTCTCACATGCAGACATGCATCGATGAAAGAGATGTCCCCCTGTCTTTGAGGGCTATTGTGAAGGTGACTCAGTCAGTAATCATGCTGGGCACAAAAATGACAGAGATTAAGTACAGCACGCTCACGTGGATGTGGGACTCTGGATTAGCGTCTGCATTGTTGCCTGCATCCCTTTGGGCCATTTCAGTTAAATGCGGGCCCTACATACTGAATCAACCTCGATGCCCACGGAAAGGGAAAGATCCCCTGACGCTTCATCAATTATACCTGGCAACGTGACGCTCACGTGGATGTGGGACTCTGGATTAACGTCTGCATTATTGCCTGCATTCCTTTGGGCCATTTCAGTTAAATGCAGGCCCTACATACTGAATCAACCTCGATGCTTTCTGTTTCTTAGCTCTAGGGAAATATCAGTAAGGGTTTCACATTCCAGCATCAAATGACATTTGTTCTCATTCATGTTTACCTGTCAAAAATCCTTGGGGGAAAAAGAAGCCAGAGATCCAGAATGATTTAGGTGGACCCCTTTTGAGCCAGAACTAAAAAAAGAACAGTTTGATATACGTTAGGCATCGAATCTGACATTCCATTTAACTTATTAAAGAAAAGACTGGCATAATTTCATTTACATCGAGGGGCACTAGAACCAGGTTTGGCCAGAATTCTATTTCTCCATCTAAAGAGATATGGGCTTTTATTTTTTTTTAATTACTATTGGCCCCGATCCAGAACCCCAGAATGTGGCATAATGGCTGTGAGATCTTCTCCCAGGGTCAGTCAGCTCCCACACAGACGCAGAAGCTGGAGAAGTCAGGGTCTCCACATCATTCCCTTCCAACCCTGAGAAGCAAATTGGTATGAAGAGCTTCTGAAGAGGGGGGCCCAGCATCTCATTTTCAAATGTCTGAAATCAAAGCACCTGCCAATGCTCAGCAGCCTCTGGGAGCCTTTGCACAGAAGACTGATTTGTTTAAAGGCAGGTCCATGCCATTTACACCTGGAGGGTGTCAGCAGTTCGGTATTTTAACGGCTGAATCAAAAGTGCGCCCGTTTCCCCTGAAAACTGACACTCGCATTGCTGGACGGCAAAGCAGTCTCGTACCAAGGGAAGAACAAATACTTATGTGCAGGAGTTTTTGCAAACACAGAGGTGGCTCTTTTAACCCCCCCCCCAGGTAAATTAATTTAGGCGGAACAACAAGGTTGGTGCTGTTGACCCTGCATTAAAGAAAATACTGGCTTTCCCAGGGAGGCAGCAAGATTTATCCCCTGGTTTGTTTAATGTGCATTATATTCGGCACTTACTAAAAAAGGAAAAAAGAAAAAAGGAAGCCAAGTTACAGAAACTACATTTTGCACACTCTTCCAGGCACTTGTCTATATTTCATAAGAACTTGTCCCTTTCTCTCTCTGAACCTCTTATCCCTGGGGCATTTTCTCCTCAACCCCTCTTACCCACTTCTCCCACGCACATTAAGTCTCTCTACCCCATTCTTCCTTGTGCCTGGAACTCAGTCTCCAAACACCTCCATGGTGCCCACTTCTCTTTCAAATCCCTCCTAGAAACTTACTTGCACGAAGCCTTGGGCTCATCTAGCCACGCACAAGTGCATATTATTCTCCCAAGACACCTGCCACAGTCTCTCCCCACCGTCTCCCCACTGTTTTCCTCGGGGCAGACAGCTGTTTGCTTCTGTCATGGCATACCTCTACCCCTAAAGAGGCATCATTTATGTAGATGCTTCCCGGTAGAAAGGGTCAACGCAAAAAGTGAACGTGAACAGAGGGCTTTTACTATCTTCCCTAACAGCAGCCCCCCAATCTTTGCAGCTGAAAGGTCCCTGGCAGCCTTGCCACATCCCTTTAAAAACAGCATTTATACACTTACATCTACAAAGGCTGTCCTCAGCACAAGGTCCTTCACCCATCCTCCCAAGGGCTTCAGTGATGGGTAGGCTGCGTTGGCCCACAGGGTGGGTACCTGGTTATTCAGGAAACTGTGGTACACTCTCTCCATCTCTTCTGACATCACCACAAAACCCGCAATGGCTTTGTTGAGTGTTTCTAGTGAGTTCTGAAAGTTAAAAAACAAAAAGCCTGTTTTGCTTTGCTGTGGAATGCATGATCGGAGCCTAAGAAGAGCCCCTGGAGCTTCTACTCCCTTAAATCCAAGGGAGAAAGAGTAGAAACCCTTCGGTGCTGAAGCACAGTTGCGACAGCCATAGAAAGAAATGTAACCGCTATTCAGGCTGCCACCAAATCCCCTCCTAAAAGGATATGATCATAATTGCCAGGTTGCAACCCAAAGACCCAGATTTTAAATTCCAACACTCACAACTCTGGGGGATCTCCAGTCATACCTCTCACCTCTTCCCTCTGCAGTCCAACATGTCTGCTTACCAAGTGGGAACTTAACATGGCTTGGATCCCACAGTAAATCTCCACTGTCAAAAGAGATTCTGTCAGTGGATCGTGTCTTTCTCACTCCCAGTGCAGTCCCAAATCATTCCCAAAATGTTGCTCTTGAAGGGCAGGGGTCCCCAAGGAACACCATGAGGCGGCAAGGTAAGTGCCACTTGGTAACCCTATCTGGAGCAGATGGGAATAGCCCCCCCCATTCATTAGCAGAAATTTCCTGCAGGAGTCAACCCTGTTTTTGCACAGATGAGAATGAGGATGAGAAGTACTGGGAAAGGAAGTCCTTGCAAGGATGAATTCTCCTCAGCCTTGACTCCCCCTCCTCCAAATGTCTCACTCCAAATCGCAAGTAGAGTAAGGACGAAATGTTTGACAGCTGCCTCCAGACATTACAGAGTACATGGGTTGGGCCTGGGGTCCCCATCCTGTGTCCTGATAGCCACACACGACTTGCAGGTTCTCCTCAGTTCCCACGCATGCAGTGCCTGCTTCAGATAATTGACTGTGGTCTGCATGGAGAAGGGGCTTCCGCCTTCCCATTCCCATGCCGTTTTCCTGACCTGCTTATGGTACTGGGGGTGTGCTATTTGTCCTGTTGGGGAAACTCACGCATACGTCCGGAGAATTCCCCAGCAGGCCAAATAGTGCCCCACCAGGCTGTTTCAAGTCAGGAAAATGATGCTGGGGGAGAGGAAGGATGAAGCCCCTTATTTATTTATTTATTTATTTATGATATTTTTACCCCACCTTTCTGCCCTTACGAGGGCTGCCAAGGTAGCTAGAAATTTAATGTACAGGATACAATTATAAAACCGTTAAAATCAACTCCCCTCCCAAACATACATCATTAACACAATTTAAAGAGAGTTGAAAAGACAGAGTTAAAATAACACACGAAACAGTTAAAATACATGCAAAACATAAAAGCATGGGCAAGGCACCACAATCAGAACTGAGCACCATATGCTCGCAGGAATTGAAAGAGAACCCACAACTCATTTATTTATTTATTTATTTATTTATTCATTCATTCAATTTATACCCTGCCAGGTGAGGGGGGGGGGACCCCCAGGCTCAGCCTCAGTACTCTGTAATGGGAGAACCAACCATTCTCACTCGTATCCTAATCCTGACTGTATTTACCTGGAATTAAATCCCATTTATTTCAACAGAGCTTCTTTTGAAGGAAGTGTTAGTCTTAAGATCACTCACCACCTTGGACTTCTAGTCTTATCATCTCCATGGGTACGTGACACGTCCCCTCCCTATTTTTTTTTTATGTTAGACCAATGGATAAAGGAACCTTTGCTGCATACCTGATCAACACAACAAGTCTCTATTTAATTCATTTTGGAGAAAATATATAGACCTTCATATTCTGTGGCCAGTTTTTCTACTTCTCCGTCCCAGTAGCTTTCAGTGGGTCCTTTTAATTTTTTTTTAAACAGAACACCCAGCCTGAAGAAGAGCTCCAGGAAACTGAAAACTCACTCACCATTTTGTGACCAGTTTGTCCATCTACAGTCTTAGTAATATTTTGAGTTATCTCAAAATGCTTTAAACAAATGAAGCCAGTAGACCTTTTTTGATTGGCATTAGATATGATCTGTGATCACACATGACACAACCAAATTCGCTGAGAAACAAGGGTGAAAACTCCCTGTCAGTAAAATTATATGCCTATAAAACTATTGTGATATTCTTAGAGCTGCTCTCCTATGTTGTCACCCCTTTCTCTCCAAGGTTACAAGAGCATTTTCAGCAATGACAGAAAGAAAGAAAGAAAGAAAGAAAGAAAGAAAGAAAGAAAGAAAGAAAGAAAGAAAGAAAGAAAGAAAGAAAGAAAGAAAGAAAACAAACCATTATGTGGCTACACAAAAAATCTTATTCTCAACTTGATGACTACAGGGAATGTTGTGAAAATGTTATTGCATTCTATGAAAGCAACACTTCCCAAACACAACCTCTGCAGTGAAGTACAGCAGCCAGCAACTGCTGAAGCATATGTATATATCCTACTCCCAGCTTAATTCACAGTGCTGGGAAGAAGCCAGGTAGAAGGAATTTATATTATCCAACTTGCAGGTGATAAGGAGTTGCTGAGCAGGAGGAATCAAATAAAAGCCGGGATTCAGAGGCTAAGAAGGGACAGACGCAAGAAACAAAAAGGCTGCAGAAGAGTTTAAGCTGGCAGCTCACATGGGAAGGCTGAGGCCACAAAGGGCAAGGAGAGGGAAGCTGAAGGATGAATGCTTTCTGGAGTTCAGAAGAGAGGGGCTGGTGCTGAAGCCAAGAGCAGGGGGCAGCTATGGGCAGCCAGAGTGGGGATCTCCTTGGGCTTTTCACTGCATCTGGAAGATCTGAAGGACCTTTTTTTTTTTTTTGGTTCAAGTAGCCCCATAAAATTTTATTGGCAAGTGAGGCAAGGACAAAATGCAAAGCCCTTCTCTGCAAGCTAGAGTACTAGAATCCTGTGGAACAAATTGGATTAGATGGAAGGAGACAGCTGCTTTCTCCCACTACATCCCTTTCCCTTCTTGGTATCAGAGCGTGATCCATGTATGCTTAGCAGTGTGATAAGCAAAAAAAACCCCCTACAACAAAACAAAAAACCAGCAAAAGCTGACCAGCTAAATTCCTGCGGCAAGAAAGACAACAAAGGAGGGGAAAAAAGAGAAAAAGGGAAAGGGAAAAGAAGGAAAGCAAGGCCAATATGTCAAGTCCTCTCCCTTGGCTGACAGACCCAAGAATCATCCGGAGATCTGACAGTGTTCCTTTAATTAGTATCAGTGGCTCATGAGTCACCTTTCCTCATTATTTCAAAAGCCTACTGTCTGCCTCTCTTATGTAAACCTCGATAACATATGTTAAGCTTAAGCAATCTAATTAATCAGAGACTGTCTTTGAAGAACCTCTCCTTTCATTCCTCGGCAGAAAAGCGGCCAGAAAACATGACTGGATACAAGCAATAAAGACCACATGGAATTTAATTTTCTGCAGATTCCTTGGAAGTTAGCACTCTGGAGAAGGTGAGCCCTAAGAAGGTTTTCCTGGGAGTTAAGCCCCACTGAATGAAATGGGGCTCTCTTCTAGGGATATCTGCTTAGGACTGCTCTGTCAGATAGCCAACCCGCCCCTACTTCCTTACACAAGTACATCCCTATTTACACCTGTCCAGAGTTCAAGTAGGTTACAAGCAGGCAATTTTCATGCCATGAAATATTCAAAGCATCAAAATATTTTCTCGATGATGCCTTGTTTCTTTTCAGAGCCTGTTTTTTTTTTTAAATGTCCCCAAACATTTAAAGGACAAATGCACAATAATTGTCCTAAAGGATAACTTGCTGACAACTCAAGACTGTCGATATCGTTGACACACAATCTGATATGCTGATCTCATCTCATTATGTCAACCTAGCTTTGCAGAGCAGAGTGACCTTAAATTCTGAAAGGAAAAAGCATTTCTTAGGAGAATCCTTAAAATCCAGATCAGGCTTCAATGACATCAATCAAGGAATTCAAAGGCAGGCATAAAGTTTCTGCAGTTCATTTCAGTATACACTTGTAAGTACCATGGAGTTTTCATGTACAGCTAGAGCGTCCACCTGACGTGCTTACATCATAAGAACGTAACAGCCTGCTAGATCAAGCCGGTGATCCTTCTAGCCAAGCATCCTGTTCCACACAACAGCCAACCAGTTCCCTAGAAGGCAGACAGGGCATAAAGGACAAGGCCCTCCCTTGCTGCTGCCTTCCAGCACTGGTTTCATAGCTTTGCTGCCTCTGAACATGAATGTTCCCTTCAGTCACTACGGCTAGTACCCATTGATGGTCCTCTCCCCCAGGTACCTGTTTAATTCCCCTTTAAAGCTATCTATGCTCGTAGCCCCCTGAGATGAACAGCCCAGGCTAGCCTCACCTCTTCAGATCTCAGAAGCTAAGGATCGGCTCTAATTAATACTTGGATGGGAGACCACCAAGAAACACCGGCAAACAACCTCAAAACGTCCCTCGCCTGGAAAACCCGACGGGATTGCCATACGTCAGCTGTGACTTGACAGCAAAAAGAAGAAGAAGAAAAAGAGTTCATTCCCTTGGACACCAAGGCTGCCTTCATAACACAAAATCCTCAAAACGACCAGGCCCACAAGATTTGCAGCCATCAATGATGTATCAGCCATGCATTAACCCACAACCAAATGGCAGGATCCAGACACCCGAATGGTTTGGGGACCACTGCTCTACCAGCATCTGTGGGGAGTCAGAGAGCACTGCAGAGTTTCAGTCATCCCACGTTCTCCTCTTCTGTGTGCACGAGAGTGCAAAGACAGGGCAGTTGGCAGTAAATAACCCAGATAATGATGCATTTGGGGCCATTTAAGTGTTCATTATAAGCAGGGAATCAAAAATATGATTTGATTGCTTCTGATGTATGTCTGAGTTTGCTGTCATATGAGAAGAAGAAGAGGAGGAGGAGGAGGAGGAGGAGATTGGATTTATACCCCGCCCTTCACTTGGAGTCTTGGAGCGGCTTACATACTCCTTTCCCTTCCCCTCCCCCACAACAGACACCCTGTGAGGTGGGCGGGGCTGAGAGAACTCTGACACAAACTGCTCTTTTTCAAGGACAGCTGTGCCGGAGCTTGTGACTGACCCAAGGTCACATCGGCAGGTGCAAGTGGAGGAGTGGGGAATCAAACCGGGTTCTCCCAGATTAGAGTCCGCACACTTAACCACTACACCAAACTGGCTCTCTACACCAAACTGGCTCAGCTGAAGTGGGGCCATGTCAGGTGATAATTACCCAACCTGAGATAAAATCTTAACCAGGGTCACTAGTCAACCAGACCTATGGAAAGAATCCTTTCAGTCTGGATGTACAAAACGGAGAGCCAGCATGGTGTAACAGTCCAGAGTGGGGGACTCTAATCTAGAGAACCAGGTTTGCTTCCCCACTCCTCCACATAAAGCCTGCTGAGTGACCTTGGGCCAGTCACAGTTCTCTCAGAACTCCCTCAGCCCCGCCTACCTCACAAGGCCTGTTGTGAGGAGAGGAGGGAAGGTGATTGTAAGCCACTTTGAGACTCCTTGGGGTAGAGAAAAGCAGGATATAAAAATAAACTCTTCTTCTACCTATGAGGATGGTTACATTTTCCCTACAGTATTCTTTTAAAATTGGCATTGGTCAAAAAGCGTGCTGCCTATTGCACTGACTGTATTGTCACATAAGTTCCTCAAAAACCCCATCCCCCTGGCCTTTCTGCCACATCCCTCTGTGGTTCCTTGCATTAAGCTAAAAGCAAAAGCTCCTTGGAGCATCTTTCGTGACATACTGCTGATGGTCTTAACATAATGAGGTTGCCTTCCATCACAGTGGCTCCTGAAAAAAACTATGGTATATCAATAACATCAACAGCCATGCTGACGAAGGGGGGAAAACTATCTGAATTATTATTATACCCTTAACAACTTGAGAAGGCCGTTGAAACGATCCACTTCTTGTCCAAGGACAGTCGTCAAAGAGTCCACTCGCCCTTTGTCATCCTTGACAAAAAGGCTTTCCGCAGCAGTGTCCATGTCAAGTTTTTCTGCAACAGAAATACAGTGTGGGTTGGTTAAGAAAAGGCCTATTCATACCCTTGTTGTAAAATTAGAAAATATCTTCCATGACTGCCAACTAATGATCCACAGGGGCCATATTCCCAACCAAACAAGAGTTGAAGGCATAGTTGGTCTTCAGGGGAGCTAAATTTGGCTTCACAGGGCTTGGTAATATTAGTTCCCTGATGTTCTTTGTGACAGGAATCAAGGGTGGGGGATCACCAACCAGATTTGTACCACATGTATTGTCTAGCTGAGCCCTGAAGTGCACAACAAGGGAAGAGTCCGATAAAAGCCTACTTTTATGTTCACAATGCAGAAAAAGAGGTTAAATAGGTTTTTGCCTGTGCCTTAGCTTGCGAGAAAAGGGTTGAATTGCATAATAGTTTAAACCAGGGCTATTTTGGGGCAGGAACGCACAGGAACGGAGTTCCGGCTGGCTCCTGAGTTGGCCATGCCCAGCACGAACTCATTAGCATAATAAGCCGCACCCAACAGCAGAAACTCATTAGGATTGGCTACATTAGGGGTGTGTGGCCTAACATGCAAAGAAGTTCCTGCTACAAAAAAAGCTCTGGGGTTTGGACAACAAACAAGGTAAACAGAATAAGAAGCAAAAGGTTGGTGTGGCTGGATGAGCACACTTCTGGTAACATGTGGGTGTGGCCTAATATGCTAATGAGTGGTGCTGTCAGGGGTGTGAACCAATATGCTAATGAGTTTCTGCTATTGGGTGTGGCCTATTATGCTAATGAGTTCCTGCTGGTTTAAACAAGGGGGAACCCACAAGGACATGCGGAGGGCATCTCATTCCCCCCTCCCCCACTATTTCTTCTTTCCCTTCCCTGAAAGCTTCCATAGCTTCTCCCCTTTTCCTGCTTCCTTTTCTCCTTTCCACCAAACAGCAAAACTACCTTTATCTGTCCCTCTGTCTTCAGATTTCCCTTCCCCTCCTTGGCAGCCTGTACTTAGGAAAACCATGGCACAGTTGTATGGTACCAGCCACCAGGCCAGGGCCACTTGCTACTCAGGAACCCTCAGGGACTTGTGGGTGTTCCACAGATCTGTGGTCCGGGTGCCCTTGCCCAACAAAGACACTTGGTTGAAGTCCGGGTGAGGCAGTGGGCATCAGTGTATGGCCTCCCTGAGGTTGCTGTCACTCACCTATTAACCCAAATAATATGCCAGGGAACCTCTCACAACCAGTTGACTTGTCTGAACTGTGATTTGTTTTTAATGCTTATTACTGTGTTTCAAATTCTTAACTGTATTTATTGTATTATTACATGATGTTACCCACCCTGAGCCCACTAGTGGGATGGGTGGACTAGAAATATAATAAATAAATAAATGCCTTGCTCGGGTTTTGCAAACTGAGGGCCATAGCTTCCTTTATTGAGTCACTCCAACTCATGTTGGTTCTGCCTCTTTTCCTGCTGCCAAAAATAAAAATGCCCCCTGCACACCCCTCATCACAAAATTTTTGTCTACAGACGTATAATAAAGAAAAATAACCAAGAAGAACATTCCATTGTCTTTGCTCTCCTTGCCAAGAACACTGGGAGGCAACAATAAGCTTACTGAACAGCTGGGTAAAACACATATTACTATACTTCTACAATTTGGTAGCATGTTATGATAGACCACTGATGCTTCCTGTTCCCAGGCAGATTTTCCAACCAAAAATATATATTTTTTGTTCCTCTCAGAGACTGAGCTGCCCTTCAGTAGCATGCATTTCTTCTTTATTTTATACGCTTTAACTGTCCCACCCTGTCACAGATATTAGTTTAGGCTTATGACTCAGCACGGGAACTAGAGGGAATACAGGAGCTCTCTTGTCTTAAAATACCCTCATGAAATGGTAAAAAGGTAAAGGTAAAGGTTCCCTTGCTCGAAAGCCAGTCGTATCCGACTCTAGGGTTGCGGTGCTCATCTCCGTTTCAAAGCCGAAGAGCCAGCGCTGTCCGAAGACGTTTCCGTGGTCATGTGGCTGGCATGACTAAACACCACGGCGCACGGAACGCTGTTACCTTCCCACCAAAGTGGTACCTATTTATCTACTTGCAATTTCTTGCTTTTGAACTGCTAGGTTGGCAGGAGCTGGAACTAGAAATGGGAGCTCACTCCATCATGCGGCACCCGGGTCTTGAACTGCTGAACTACTGACCTTCCGCAGTCTGCAGTTCAGCGTCTTAACCACTTGAGCCACCGCAGCTCCCATGAAATGGTACATGAGGCAAAATTAACTTTCAAAACCGAATAAAGATTTTAATAAACTGGCAGGGAAAATATAAAAATGCGGATTCAAAGTACAGAAGTTGCTGAGGTAAAACTTTCTAATATATACATAACTGAGGTTTTTGAACATACAAGATAAGTTTTTGCTCATATATTTCAGCTGTTACACAGAATCTTAAATACAGTTTCTTTAGAGAACAGCTTTGTCTTAGTGCTTCTAGGTTTCTCCCTTCAGAGATGTAGGTTTTCCCTTTAGCTATTATCACTTTCCAGTAACTCTTGAGGTGTCTAAGCTCTTCCCCTTTATCACAGACCAGGGTTCTCTTCCCAACCCCTTCCTACTGGCTAGAAATTATTCTTCTTTTCCCTAAGAAGCAATAACTCCTTTTCCTATTTGGCTTGTCTGAGAGTTCTCTCTAACTCCTCAAACCTCCTGCCAAATTCCTCTTCCAGAACTATATGTCTGTATAAGGCAATGCTGTAGCTTCCTTGACTGGGAATCTGAATTCTCCCCCAGAGTAGTTTTAATATATCTTAGACAATGGAGTCCCTCTTCTTCTCTCTATAGTATTTTTCCCACTATTGCTTGACAGAAATCACTGATTTCCAAAGTCTCTTCCATCAGAGGCCAAACCCTCAGGCTACTGATCCAGACATTAGATTTCAGACAAAGACAAAAAGTGACTCAAAAGGCGAATGAATCCTTTCCCTCCAGCTCAGCTGTTTTATTCCCTCTCTAAGCTGATGCTGACCAATCAAACAGCAGCCAATCACATAAGCTCTTCTCTCCAGTGTAGATTAACTCATAACCTCCCTGAATCTCTGTCCCAAGCAGCATTTTAAAAACCTGCTTTTCTGTGCAATTCTGTCACACATGTACAAGCAAATGGACTGGAAATATACCTCTTTATGAGCAAGACTGAAGTCCATTAGCACCTTAAAACCCAACAAGATTTCCAAGGTATAAGCTTTCAAGAATCAAAGCTCCCTTCATTAGATGCAAGTAGGAATGTATCTGTCAAAAGGAGATTTGACTCTCAAAAATGTGTGTGTGTAAAGTGTCAAGTTGCAGCCAACTTATGGTGACCCCAGCAAGGGGCTTTCAGGGCAAGTGAGAAGCCAAGGTGCCTTCCTCTGCAGTCTACCTTGGAGGTCTCCCATCCAAGTACTAACCAAAGCTGACCCTGTTTAGCTTCTGAGATCTGATGAGATTTGGCTTTCCATTGAAAACTTATACCCCGGAAATAAGGTGCTACTGAACTCCAGTCTTGCTATTCCACTGCAGATCAACATGGCTACCCTCCTGAAACTTACTTTTTTTCATAGCAGTTGAAATGCTGAAGACCCTGCTTTGAAGAACAGGGAAAGCAGGAACCAGAAGGATGATTGAACTAGAATTCCTAGTCAAACAATTTACTACAACATTTCTCAGATGTTTTGCCAGTGTGGTGTAGCGGGTTAAGAGTCTTGGACTAGCATCTGTGAGATCCAGGTTCGAACCCCGCTCATGACCGACTCGAATCCCCATTCACTGGGTGATCCTGGGCCAGTTGCACTCTTTCAACTTAGCCTACTTCACAGAGTTGTTGTGTGGATAAAATATAGCAGATTAGAAAGACGCAAGCTGCTTTGAGTCCCCACAGAGGAAGAAGTTGGGGTATAAATTAATTAAATAAACATGGAACTCAAGGTGGCATATCATCTTCTAAAATCATCATATAAAATGTGAATATGTTGAAGTGGCTAGACCACCATCTGCTCAGTCTGGAAACCACTGCAAAGATAGCATTCTTCATCTATTGTCTGCAGTAGTCTTCCTAGACAGATACTATTCTTTAGGAATGGGCACAAACTGGGAAAATGCAGTTTGGTTTGTGAGGTTTGTGATGCAGTAGAGTGCCCCCCGTGTGCTAGAGATACCAAACTCACAGGGGATCTCTGACTGGCTCTTTTCTACCTGCCCTCCAAGTTTGGTGAGGATTGGATTTCTGGGGTCCAAGCTACAGTCCCCTAAAGAAGGTGCCATCAGGAAAATTCTTTCTGGGGAAATGACAGGAAGTCAGTTTGACAGGCACAGGTTCGGGAAGTTTAAGAGTGTACAGAATGGACCCTGTGCAAGCTAGAGACATCAAACTTGCAGGGGACCTCCCCCTGATGTTCCTTCAAATGCCCTCCTGTTTATGTGCAGATTGAATTAACGGGGTCCAAGTTATGGTCCCCCAAAGAAGATGCCCCCAGGAAAGTGCTTTTGAAGGAAATGTCAGGCACAGGTTCAAAAGTACACAGGGAACCAATTGGTGTTTCCAAGGCTGGAGAAGTCTGCCTCCCTGTTGCTTTGAAGTCTGGTAAACATTTTGTTTGAGCAGAGACAGCCTGTCTGGAAATATATCCATTCATGAACTGCCTGAAAGAATGTGGAAAGTTTGTGCTGGTTAACCTTCCACGAACTTCATTTGCAAACCACAAGCTAGACAAAATTCATCACAAACTTTAGTTTGTTAGCCAGATCGTACCCATCCCTACTACTGTTAGAATGGATGACAAATTATTTAGTAGGGTTGGCAACAGATTAGAGATTTTATTTCATCAATATTTTGCTTTTGATTAATTACTTGATTAAGCAGATATTTTGTGGGTATTTATTTAAAACAACACCTTCTTTCAACTCAACAACACAGATATGATGTTCTTCACCACAAGATCTGCTTCAAATGATGAATGTAAATTGTCCACAACAATGCCATCT